CGCACCCCTGACCCTTTAGTAAAAGTAAATTCAACGTAAAGTCTGACCGCGTCAACCTTGTTGCACCGGCTAGTCCTATTAAGTGTCTGCTTTATTTACCCAATGTCCGGGCGATACAGTACAAACTGGGACCGGAAAGGTTAACCTGGCTCGGAAATTCTAATGTACTACGGATGCCCGTGTGTCAATTGAAAAAGTATAAAAAATATAATCTAAATGGGTCTTGGAAATTGAAGAAGATAAAAATCAAGAAAAAACTAAAAAAAATTAAAATATAGATATTTCAATACATACTGAACATTTGTTAATTAAATTCAAAAATATTTTTAAACCAATTAAAAGTATAATTATTTGCAGGGGCTCTTATAGATAGAAGAGCAAATTAACAAATTTTAGAACAAATTATATATTATTATAGATTTATTTCGTACACAAAGATAAAATGGTACAATATGATAAGACAAAAACAAGAATAAAGTATAATATATAAATAGTTGATCATGGTTGCGATCTCATTATCATCAAAGTTGTTGAGAACAAAATTATCTTCTTTAACTTTAAGTAATTCATGAAGAATGGGTAATTTCCATTCTTGGTCTAAAGGAATATGATTGTTTATCGTATTTTGTTTTACGCAAAATTTGTTTAGATTTCTAGATTGTACATTACAATCTTGTGCAATAGATTCAGATTTTTACATAGAACAGTTCTTAAATCCTCTTTACTTAGATCTACTAAAAGTCGAACACATAGCTTATGACAATTTGATAAATTGGTCGTAGAATCTTCATTGTATAATATTTGGCAAAAAAGTTGATCTGGAAACATGTAGCATAAACAAGTGATGTTTATTCTCTTTTAAAACAAGAAACACTAAAAAAATATAAGTTTGAATTATGTAAAAAAAAATACAATAAAGCACAATTAAAACCTTTTTTCGAAATCTAAAAATCTAAATTTATTTCTCATTATACCAAGTTACAATTTCTGTTTTAGAAAATTTTTAGTAATCAATTTTAAGAATTTTGTCATAAACGAATAACAACATTGTTTAACACTAAAAAAATAATGTTCTAACGCAAAAATTTATTTAAGACAATGGCGTGTGCCGGAAAACGCTTCAAAGTCGGCCCGGTTTAATTAAATAGTTAACATTTTACATAACTATGACGATCACTGTTTTATATGAATGTTAAAAAATAAAATGTTAGGCAGACAAAGAACAGGGAAGGTCTGTCCTCTCCTGTTTTCCTCAAATAGTAAAAACAACAACATCAACAACAACAACAAAACAAAAACAATAGTAAAAACAACAACATCAACAACAACAACAAAAAAAACAATAGTAAAAACAATAACAATAGTAAAAACAACAGCATCAACAACAACAACAAAACAAAAACAATAGTAAAAACAACAACATCAAAAACAACAACAAAAACAATAATAACAACAAAAACAATAGTAAAAACAACAACATCAACAACAACAACAACAACAACAAAAAAAAACAATAACAACAACAAAAACAATAGTAAAACAAACACATTAACAACAACAACAGCAACAAAACAAAAAAAATAACAACAAAAAAAACAATAGTAAAAACAACAACATCGACAACAACAAAACAAAAGCAATAATAACAACACAACAATAGTAAAAGCAACAAAAATTACAAACATAACAACAACAATTACAACAACAACTACGCGCAAAAAAAGTATAACAACAACATTGAAACAACAACAATAACAACTAAAATATACACGAAAACAATAACAAAACAACACCATTGAAAATCACAACGACACCAAAAAATAGAAAAAAAACAATAACAACAAAAACACAAAAATAATATCAAAATTAACGAAAAAAACACCAACACCAATAACCCCTAACCAAAACAATAACACCCAACAACGAAATTAAAACATAACAGATAAGTACTAATACTTTGACGACAACAAAACGAATGATATCAAATGAAAACAAAGGCGTTAGAAAAACTAACGTTGCATTAGTACATTTTGTTGAAAAAAATCGTAGATAAACTTTTGATAATCTTTAATTTTTCCTCATAAAATACAAAGGATAGACAATGTTTATTTTCATTACACTCCTCTAGCAATAGGATAAGTACTTCTTTTTTCTAAATGACAGCTTTTCAACAATGATTAATAAATATTTCTCTGCGGATTTTATGAATTTGACTTTAGATTTTAAGAAGAATATTATTTAAAACATTTAAATCTTTTTTTACTTACAGCATTATAGTCGAGTTTAAATATCTCCGAGTTGAACTTTATATGATCAGACCGCGCCAACATTTTCCTTATTTTTCACGTATATTTGATAACTTAAGAATTTAAATGTTCGGGGTTTGGCTCCGACTGCTCTGGGTACCTCTGTAAGACTGACGGACGGTTCTGAGCGGAGCGGAGCCGTACTATACATCTTGTTTACTTTCACCGGGCGGAGACCTCACCCCCCCCCCCCATCTTAGGAAACAAAGAACAAATTTTTGAGAGTGTTCAAAATAATCTTAAAATTCCTAAAACA